AGAATAGGAATTCACTCTCATTTACTTGAAATCCCTTGAGAATAGAAATTTATGCTCACCGTCTATTTTATTCTCAGCTATACACATTTTGAGATGCCTAATAACGCAAGGACAGGGTTGTGTGATTTTGAATTAGTCAAATCACAAATCCATAAATCAAATTTATTTCTGAATTGGAAGTTGCAGCAAAGCCTAAATAAATTTTATTTGTGACTTCATTCGTCAACTAAATAAAGAAAAAAAATTTATTTCGGGATTTTCGAGACTTCGGATTTTCAGGATTTTCTAAACTAATTCGGGATTTTTGGGACTATTACGGGGTTTTCAAGATTTTATGGATTTATGAAACTACCTCGAGATTTCGGGGGATTCTCGGCACTGTATCGAGATTGTCGTGAATTTTTTTAACTATTTCGGGATATTTCGGGATACCTCGGACTATTTTGAGATTTTTGGGGCTAATTCGGAAATATTGGGACTTTTGAGAGTACTTCGACATTTTATGATTCTGGTGCCTGAATAACCAACATTTCGAGGTAGTTTCGAGAATCCCGAAATATACCCGAAATTCTCGAAGTAGTCTCAAAGATCCCGATATTGTCTCCAGAACCCTTCCAATTTTGAAGTGACTCGAAAACCCCGAAATAGTCCCTAAAACTCTTAAAATTTCAAAGTATTGAAAATCCCAAAGAAGTCTCAGAAATCCACAAGTGCTCTTGTAAATTCCGAAATATTCACGAGAATCCCAAAAATCTTGAAGTCGTCTAGCAAAAGCCGAAATATAAACATGGCACAGCGCTGAAACCGGCGCGTCTCTAAAGCAAACTTAACAAGGAACGATGGCAATTCATTCCAAAATAAACCATCTTAGAAGAAGTATTTGACAAAATTTTCCGAGCCCGATAAGGTTAGCAAAAGTAATTAAGCAGCCGACAAAAATTAAACGCTACTACCAACGTTTCCTTGCACCTGGAATCGTTTTTTCGTTTGTGTAGAAGGACCTCTTTTTCCTCATCACGTCTGATATCCACTTATCCCTATCTGGCCGACCGGTCGTGGATTTGTTGTTAGAAGGCGAGATAGGAGCATAATAATCAGCTTCGATGGGAAAGGCGGCTATGGTATCGCTGTGACCGTTAAACATTACAGTAGTCGCTGATCACAGTTAATTTGTTTCAATTGATTGGTACTACAGGCTTTGGCAAACTTCGTCAATTGAACAAAGCGCAAAAGCGGTCCCAACTTTTTATGAAAATGATAGTTCTACAAGATGTGCATTTAGCGTATTACGTATTTTTTTTCCCAGTCAACATAACCGGTCATTTGAGTCAACAATCAGCCCTTTGATGCGAAAATTCGAAGAAACTGGGTGTAACGGTGTATAGCGCGACGAGTGAACCAGGTCGCGTCAACCTAACAACAAAAGACCTACATATGTATGTTTATACGCCTAAAAATTGAATTGACACAGAACTGAATCCTAGAGACCGTTTTTAGCACCGAATAAGTGCCAATTGGCCGCTTGAACAACGAGCAGTTGATGTCTAAACGGATATGTTAACAAGCAAAACTTCCGCATTTGGGATACCGAAAATCCAGGGGTCATTCGAGAAGAAACTATGTACCCAAAACGAATCAGTGTTTGGTGTAGTTTTTTGGGCTGGCGGAGTCATCGGGCTGTACTTATTTGAAAATGATTTATGACTTGAATTAGATGACGGTGCCACTTGCCACATAGCGCATAAAACAATGGTTTCAGGATGTATTATCTCACGAAACAACGAGTTCAAATGTCCGCCGAGATCTTGTGATTTGACATCGTTGAACTTCTTTCTCTAGGGTGGTTTCTCATTCATTTTAACCTTAGCCACTTTGCCTGCTTACTTTCCACTAAAGGGACGGCGGTTTAGGTGATATGTATTTGTTGCTTCTAAAGAAAAACAATAAGCCAATTTAATACTGCGAAATTGATTTGTTTCACTTCAGAAGCTCAACCGTCCACACTTCCGTAAATTATGCATTCTAATGAAATGCAGCCAATTTCTATGTGCTCTTCACATGCTATGTCCGCCAGGCCGCCATGCTACACCGCAAGCACGTTGGACACGTTTAGCAATTTTAAAAATTTCTTCCTGCCCTGGCAAAAGAAGAAGCTGTATGTAAGTAACTATTTATTCGTAACTAGCCGACTTGACTGCCGGAATTTATGTATATACGAGTAGTTGCACCAGAAGCTGCAAAGACTTTCACATGGAAAGTTCTTTCAACTTCAACCAGCTAACTAGCGAAGTGGAAATCGATCCATATTTGGTGCTGGTCAACGATCTGACTGAACTGTTAGTTGGTGAGGCGTGCACATCAGTTCAGTGCCGCGGATCACTGACAGATCGATCGCACATTTGACGCGCTCACACGTCACTGAGCATATGTTGTACTTTGGAATGGTGATGGGAACGGGAATGGGAATGAGAGAGTGTGTGTGATTGCGTGTGTGACGTACGTATGTATGTACGTAGTTTACGAGTATGCACTTCTCACTGCGATCGATCATTTTGTTGGTTACCGCGAAGTTGTTGGCTGGCAGGCAGGCAGGCACCATATTTAGCAGCAACGTTGCCAACAACTGTATACTTACTTCCACCGACACCACCCCAATCAACGGTATAAACAATATCATCTTTGGCGTGCACGACTGGTAAGAATTGCATTGCCATAAAACACCGACAACAACAAAAGTGGGAATAAGTAAAAATGAAATAAAAAACCAACGAGTAATAAACAAGGAATTGTAACAGTTGCGGAAGACGTATGCAATTTTATAAAAAGTAAAAGAATAAATTGAAGAATGTGTTTGGAAAAATGCACTTTGGTTGGAGATAAAAAGCGGATGAACTCTGCACAGTAGAGCGTTATATGAAATTAGTAAATCAAAAGAAGAGTTTAGCTTTAATTTAAAAATGCATAGAGTGAAGTGGTCTATGAACTGGGTTGTAAGTTCTCTTCCTACCTTAAGAGCAGATGGATGTTACCCTGAACTGGAATGCCTATTAAAACATATAGCGGCTTTAGAACCCTGGTAGGCCGATATAAAAATTAGAAATTTATTAAGATACGCTTTTTGCATGTCGCTTACGCCGTTCCGGCTACGAAACGCTACCAATGAAGGAAGCATTTTTTTTTGTGTAGGCAGGAGTCCGAAATGACATTTAATCTTACGATGTAGGTTCTTACCGCGCAATGCGCATGCAAGCTTCCTTTCGAAGTCGACGGTCTCCGCATTGCTAGGATGTGAAGCTTTTTAGAACACCCACGTTGCAAGAACTCATCAGGGTACTTCTTCCTGGAACCGTGAACGATCCCAAAAACGATGTGGAGTTTTACTTATCCTTTCTAACGCAAAGTGGATAGGTGCAGGAAGTGTCGTGAGCGGAAGATCAGGGAAACTTTACAGCATATTCTATGCCGATGTCCCGCAATATCAAAAACACGACTAAAATGTTTAGCAGCCCACAAATTTGAGAAGTTAGCAGACATCTCAAAAGTAGAGCTGAAATTACTACTGAAATTCGCGAAAATTGTTGATGTCTACTTTAACGTCTAAAATCGAAATCCAATTAACAACGCTAAGGGCCTAACGGCCTGTGTGTGGCTAAGCGCGGTCCAGATAAACCTAACCAGCATTAACACCGATAATTCTTGCCAACAAGTGCTACTTTGGCCTGAGTAGGCAATTAAGGAGTAAAATCGTATTTCGACGTACGAAAACCACACTCTATATATCACTCATCATGCCCATGTTCGTATATGGCGCCGAAGTATGGGTAATAACAACATCCGATTAGGCGGATCTTGGAGTATTCGATAGAAATATTTTGGAAAAGATTTACGGGCCCTTACACGCTGGCGACGACGAGTATCGCAGATGATGGAACGATGAGCTTTAATTTAATTAATTTAATGATGAACTTTACAACGATATATAAATAGTGCAGCGAAGTAAAATAAAGCGGCTACGCTTGATTGGCCATGTCTCCGATGCTTCACCTCTGAAGGTATTCAACTCGGAACCCGCTGATGGTAGCAAAGGAAAAGGGTGGCCCTACTGCGATGGAAAGACCAAGTGGAGAAGGACTTGGTTTCACTTGGCATTTATAATTGGCGTTAGTTGGCATAGAAGAGAAATGACTGGCGTGCTTTGTTGAACTCGGCCAAAATCGCTTAGGCGGTTACAGCGCCAAATAACAAGAAGAAGCACCTAGAGCAAGCCTCAGTTTGTCGAAAAAAAATCTGCACTTTTCTTTCACCCTACACCTTCCTTGTCAGTTTATCAGTCGTGCGGTTCTCTCAAATTTTTCAATGTACCCAGATAAAAAAAACTGTCAACCAAAGTTTAAAGCAGCTAAATAATAAAATCCGTTATCCATCATCTGCTTGTAAACTGGACAATAGCCTGCCAACCTAACTTTGTGGTTTACGATAATTTCCTAAGGTATGCGCTCAAAAATATAGCAACCATCACCACTCCTGTACCAGTCCTTAACCCATTCTCTGAAGCCTGTCATGGAGTAAACGAGTGTCGCAGTAGCAGCCTAATCTAGTTAATATACTCAGATTGCAGAATGCCGTACCCACGACCTTAAGTTAAAAAGGAGAACGTCTAACATGCCTTCTTCAGTGGATAATAACGATAGTAGAACCTCGAAACATAGGAGTTGCCTGTAAAAGCTTTCAAAATATTGGCCTCACTCATTTCATCATTCCTTTCCCACTGTTCTGCCAAACTGACCAATTGTTGTCTTTCCCATTGTTTGCTATGGGAAAACTTGTGCGGCTAACTTGTTGTCGGCACAAATTGGCAGCAACCATAACAGACCATAAACATATGTATATACCAGGTATTTATGTGAGTATTCACGATTAGTTAAAAATATTTATAAACCTTTAGAAATGTTCACTTTGTTAGGTACTGACATAGAGGCACGCCGCAAAGGGTAACTTACCGTTTCTGTGCAATTTCTGGCGTTGACCGCCGCCGACACCTCCAACATCTCTGATGCCATGTCCATTATGACTACCGCCATTGTAGTTGCCACCGCCACCACCACCACCACCAACACCGTGCGCACCGTTGCCGTTGCCGTTGCCGTTACGGCCATTTTTCTTCTTCTGCTGTTGCGTCGACGTGCCACGTTTGTTTGTGTTGACAGCGAATGCCGATGTTGTTGCCTTGACTGCTGCAGCATTTGTGGCATCTGCCAGCGCAATATTGTCCGCAACAAATTCATTACTATTTATGTTGCTCTCGACGGCCAGACCACTTTTGGTTTTACGACGTGTGGCTTGATGATGTGTTTGTCTTTGTTGCTTTCGTTGTTGTTGTGTTTGGTGGTGTTCGCGTTGTTTACGCGATTTTTCATGCTTGTGTGATTTGTTTGGCTGCGAGTGCTGTTGCTGTTGCTGTTGCTGTTGCTGTTGCTGTTGCTGTTGCTGCTGCTGCTGCTCCTCCTGCTGCTTCTTGCGCTTTTGTGCGCGATGTTGCTGACGCAGTGCCTGTTGCTGCTGCTGCTGTTCGAGCCGCTGTAACTTTTTCGCCGCAACTAGAGTGCGCGCTGTCCAAGAGTCGATGCTGGACTCGATAAAATCGGCTCGACTTGTATTGGCCGGCATTAGGGTCTCGGAGTATTCTCTGAGCAGCTGCGCGGGGGATAGGCTGCGCAGCTGTTGGTGCATGAGTTGTGTACGTGCAGTTGTAGCTGCATGTGTGGGTGTGGCGGTGAGGAATATAAAGTTTATGCTCACGAGCTGCAGATAGCGCAGTAAAAGCGGCAACCGAAGTCTTTTAGTTTTTATTCTCTCGTTAGCGATTTGTTTTTTCACAGAACGCATAGTGGAGGGCTTTTCCTTAGAACGTCTAGAGCGCAACATTTTCGAAACTTTCGTTTCCTTCACTTTATTGGGAGTTGTGTTTCGCGTACTTAATTTTATTTGAACATGGTGATTTTCAAAATTCACTACTTCACACTTCACGATTTGTGTTATTGTGATTTCCTTTTTATTTTTATCTTACTTTTCTTAATTATTCACACCTGTAGTAGCATAAATATTTTCTTACACTTCACAAATTTATACTCTGTTGTAGTTTTCTTCACGATCATTTTTGTTTAGGCAACAACTAAATGGAAAAAAAACTCATATAATGAATGCTCACAACACATTTCCTAATCCATACAATTTTCTTAATAACTGTGGACTGTGAAATCTTAGCATTTCCTTTGATTATGAAATTTAAGCAAAAAATTAAATTTCACTTCAGCACGATAAAGAACTGTTAAATCGGTGACTAAATTTTTAGTGTTTATATTTCTGCTTTTTGATTTTCACAACAACTACTGCACGAAGTTTCAAATAGGGATTAGATGAGAAATATACTAATTTGAAAAGTATGTAGAATTGTTTCTTGAAATACATATATCATTTCGGTAAATATTCGAGAGATCGTTAGTAAGCCATTGAGCCAAAAAATTGACAAGAGATTTCGGAAATTCGTTCCAAAACACATCATACTCGTTCCCTGCAGGAAGCCTCAACAATCAAAGCGAAACCATAGATTATAAAGCTATTAAGCTCAGAGCTACGAAAAACTTTTTAACGAGAGGTGAAGATAGAGACTAAAAGTTTAAACAGATGGCAGCGTTGATCCGGACTAACTCGGATTTAATCCGGATCAACTGCAGTTAATTCCCGAGTTGATCCGGATCAACGCCGCCGTATGTTTCTGCTTTAAGATAAGATTCGCCATGCCCGATTCTGCCTACTGCATTGACGTCAATGCTGTGCCGAGAGATGTTATAGCTTACGTTGGTAAAGCAACAAAACTTCATTATTATCACAGTTCCAAGTCATTGTGAGATGAAATCACATCTATTTTTGATGGTTGGCTAGGCTAATCACTTCTAGAAAAACCTTTGGATAATGCGCGCTTAACATGCGGCCAGCTGCGGTTGACATCTCAGGTGGTTAATGTATATTTCAGAGAGTTCTTCTAGAGTCTTTAGAAAATGCGTGATAAGATGCTTAAAACTCAGCACCGCGAAGTCTGAACAGGTAATCATAAAGTGTGTAGTAGTAGTAGTAGATAATACTCCATACACAAAGTAGCAACAGTATTGACAAGGATCCCAAACTTAACTGGAACCCAAGCATTGAAGAGCGTACAAGGAAGGCCACGATGGCTCTATATGCAGCCAAGAGAATGTTAGGCAACAGATGGGGTTTGAAACCGAGGATTGTGTACTGAATACACTCTTATGGAGCGCTCGTCTGGTGGCTAGCCCTTACTAAGGATTACATAAATAAAAAGCTTAGCGGAATTCAAAGGTCAGCAGCCGCTGGCGTAACAGATGCAATGAGATCCTGTCCGAAGGATGTTTTGAACGTTCGTTTTGATTTATTACCGATAGATATCTTTATCGAAAACTCAGCTGCTAACAGCGCCATCAGACTGCGTACCATGGGTCTCTGGAAGCAAATACCGTTCCGGTACGGTTCTATCCCAGACGCATTACTGCCTGAAATTAAAGCGCTGCCCACTGAATATATCAGTAAGGTACATCAAAGAGAATATCCCGCAAGAACGCAGGTGAATATCTTCTCGTGTAGCCAAGCGGCTATTCAGGCACTCTCTTCTACTTCTGTTAGAACTCAACTAGGGGATGACTGTAGGAGAGAGCTGGTCTATATCTGGTCTGATCAATATGAAATTACCATTCGAACATTTCCTGTGCGAGTGTCCATCCCTCGCAAAGATATGACTAAGGACACTCGGCAAACCATACCGGCAAAATGTTTCAGAGTGCAGCTGCCTGTCTTTGTATGACGTACTGCCCAGCACAAAGATCGCTCAACTGGCACTTGGCCTATATCTATAGAAAGTCAAAGGTAAAGTAAAGAAGTTTTCTGCACTAGCACTATAGCCTGATATCTTTACCAATTGGGTCATAAAATATGCCGACGCGACCGAAAGGGAAGTCAGGTATGTCCCTGACCTATTTCGAGCATTCCGTGAGGATGAGGAAATGCTTTGTTCTAACAGAGTATATGCTATTCATAATAGAGGTCCGCAATTGAGCAGTGAATCTAGTCCACCTTTCCAATAGCTTACTCTGTCTAAGAGGTTAAAGAAGAGTGCTTATAGAAATTCTTATATCTCTCGATTTCTTAAAACACTATATTGCATTCCTAGTAACCGTACTTTTGACAAACTAATAAGAATATAGCAAAAATTATTGTCGGGGACACCGCCCTTAAGGTGACCGTCTTTCTTACTTTTCGATCTGCATTCCTACATATGTATGTAGATCAATTTTTACTGGGGAGGAGGATGATAGATTATGAAAACGGCTTAAGTCGTTAATGTACATCCTTTGAGGTGAGTTAGTAGGTAAAGTTATCCACGCGACGGTCCCGTCCTAGTCAAGGCCTTTCGTCGATCGTGCTCGGCGAATATGATTAGGAGGCTTCGCTTTATAGACCCCGCCCATGTGATTAAGTTTTAATGAAGCTTCAATGGTTTTACAATTAGCTAAATCGTCGTGAAACCGGTGTCAAGGTTATTTTTTCTCAGAAGGGCAGCCATTTTAAGTTCGCAACCAAACTTTGCCTCTACGTTGGTATCCATACGTGCGAACGGATTTTTCTCTAGCTCTCGTCACAATTATTTTTGCAGTAGCTCAAAATTTAAACTTTTTGATTAAAAATCAAATTTTAAAACATGCCATTTTATTTTCAAAGCGAGTTTTAATGTTTCAGATGTGCCTTAGTAGGCCTGTAGTAGAATTTGGGAACCCTTTTTTTGAGCATTTTAACTCATTAACTTCTAGTAGAACTGGTCTTTTTCTGACAATTTTGAAAAAATATGGCAGTTAGAGGGTTAAAATATTACACAAAAATTTAGCACATTTTACTAGGGATTACAGAAAACGAAAAGCGTGTATCAAGGGGGAAGAGTAAATATATAATCAGCCTTGTTTTTTAAACTTATAAGTCGTTCCCATAATTTAATAGGCGAAATGAAAATAGCTACATTAGGAAAAATTATTTTTGTTTTTTTTTATAATTTTTGGGAATAATTGTTAACATAGAATTCGCAATAAGGCCCAATTTTTCAAGAAAGATCAGAATTTTTCGCCAAAGCAAAATAACCTTTAATCTTCTCTAAATAACTGATTTGAATTTTTGGAAAATTTAGCCTTGTACCTATAAAAGATGGAATGCACCGTGATCCTATTGGGGTTCGGTTATAATTCAGTTCAGACCCTAAAATAATAGTTCCCCAGAGTAAGAACAAACGCTTAACAATCTCTTTTTAAAAAGGGCGTCGCTATCGTAAGCACTTTGAGTCCCGAAAATAAAATTTTACACTACCTGCGATTAGCCCTACAGTATTCCTAAAGAATTTGAATATGTAAAAATCGCAAGTTTAGAAATTTTCAAGCCAAATTTAACTGAACTTATAGGAAATTTAAAAATATTTCATCAAAAAAAATTTATTAATTTGATAGCACTTTCTTACACGTCAGGCGACACACTCGAGTTCAATTAATTTTTCTGTTGAATACAATTTTTAATGTTACAAAATGAGTTAAATTTTTTTTTGTAATTTGTAAACGTTTTTTCTTTTTGAATCACATGTGAGCAGGCACAATCAGTTTTTGTTCAATTTATAACTAACCAATATTTTTGTTTCATATTTCTCCGTTAAAAACTTTATACGCGCAATAAAAGATTTTAATTTTTTAAGTTACTAGCGGCTTTCTTACCACACGCAGAGACGCTTATTGAAATTAAAAATTTTTTAATGCATCTCATCACAAATTAGTATTCCCATCGCCAGCAATTTTATTTATAAGTTACCCAATTTCCGAGAATTACAAGCAATCTACTGACGCTTTACAATGCTATTGGCACTAGCACTATGAATTATTACCATTGAAATTTCAAATATTATTAACAGCAAAGTAAATTACTAACATGAACGGAACTGCTGTCATTCACTTTGCAATCAATACGCAACAACAATTCTTGCGGCGATACATGAATCGGAACTGCTTCGCGTAGCACAAACACGCTTACATACGCAAGTATGAACAACTTCCGGTTGAACGCGACGGCGTCGTTGTTGTTTTTGCTTACTTCTTTCGCGTGCCGCACTTATGGACATACTCGTACATGAACTTTGAAAAGGGCTAAAAAGTGTTGATTGTATTTGTGCTTGTGCTTGCAACTATTTTTACACCTTCTTATTGCACTTTGGTTTGCTGCACAGGCTGGCTATTGTTGTTGGAAGACGCTACTGCAGTGCTTTTATTACGTTTCTTGTTTAACTTTAATTGCACATGTAGAAATGTTTGCAACACACTGGAGCATTTTTTGCAACAAAAATGCATTTAGTTTTTACTTTTTCCCCGTACTCAGCTTTTGAAGGACTGCTCGCGGCAAAAGGGGTCGCGTGCGATTTGAAACGGGGCCGCACGTAGCATCGCGAAAATACTCGTATAGCATACATATGTATGTACATGTAAAGCAAGCATCAACGAGTACTACGACAGCGACAGCCAAAATTAAAACGAACAAGCAGACGATGCGAATTGCCGTGACGATGACTCTGACGATGCAGACGAAGTTGCGTACGGCGACAAAATTTCTATTTTCGTATATCCTCAGAAAAAGGGCCAAGAAAACACCGATCTCTTGGTAGCCTTCATTATTTGTGCGATTTATCGCTAACGGATGGCGGCGCTTTTGTAGCACCGAATGTTTTGATGCATTTAATTTCTTATTTTTTCATTTCAAGCTCCATATTTTCCGTTCTCAAGTGAATATCTATCTATTAAGGAAACCAATTAGGCATTTTAACACTCCTGGCACACTCACACTGTAAAATATTCACATCTCTTAATTGCTTTTACCACACGCCTCATTTTCTTTACGCCCGTTACTAAACCACCGTTATACATACATATGTACGCATTTTCATTTAACACCATAACCCCGTCGTAAACAAGCACTTATCACCATAACTTACATTGCGTAATTGCCTTACTTATTTTCATATTTTTTCTCACTATTTTTCAAAAACACAAAACAAAAAAATAATTGTAATTTAATGCGCGTTTACTCGCCCGCTTTCCGTTTTTATGTCCACTCACGTTGAGCCACCACGAAGAACTGAATCGATATTCACCAACCTTCGACGCCAGCGCCTTCGATTTCGTTTATTCCTTTGATGATCTTCGGCAAAGCGGCGCACTTTGCTTATCAATGCTAGGCAGTGCTGCACTTTGGTGAGTTTTCCCCATTGCATTGCGGGTGTTTGAATGCACCGCTCGCGCATGGGTTTGTATGTGTGTGTGTGCTTAGTGCATTGCGCTAAAACTTTACTAGCGGAAACTCACCACATTTAGTGCGATGCGACAACGAACATGTTCGTGGTTACTGTTTGGTGTTGGGTGCGGTGCTTTTTTATTTTGTTTAACCTTCACCGTGGTACTATTTACAAAAAGATTTTAATTTTGAAATGTTTTTTTTTTTTTTTACTTTTTCTCCCAATGCGGCACATTTACATACATACATATGTAAATATTACATTATTTTGGCGAAATATTTTACGTAGTTTATGTTTTTTTTACCTAAATAACATTTAAAACATCTAGTTTGCCAGCATGTATATTAGGGCGGGTCGAAAATTGAATTTTTCTCAAATCTCTTGGCAATAGTGAAAATGTGTTTTATCATGATCATTTATTTCAATTGTAAGAGCCCCGACCCCCAACGAAATATACTAACCTTTTTTCCATATCTATATATACATACCTTTATAATGCCAGCTGTTTAAAAATTTAAACTCAAATTATTTAATAAAGAATGCCACCAGATCCGCTCGTTCGTTCGATTTTCAAAAATGAGGTGTCAATTTAAAGATTTTATACTGTAAAAGTGCAAAAGAGTTGCCACCTTTAAAAAAACTTAATTCAAATTATTAAAAAAGTTAAACCCCTTATTAAAAATCCATAAAAATATTGCATCAATCGAAATGGGTTTGAAAAGCTTTCTTTATTAACTTAACTGTAGGAGGGTTGCCACCTGTTAAAAAATCAAATGCAATTTGAGTTAAGGGAATATGGTAATAGAAATATGTATCACCATATGAGCGCAGACGAAAAAAATTTGAGAAAGAAATAGTTCGTAAATATTTTGAATAGGGTTACCACCTGTTCGAAAGGTCGACTTCAGTTAATTTATACACAATGAAATATTAAAATATGTGAAACAAAAGAGTGTTAGGAAATCTTTAGTTTGGACATTAGTGTGTAAACCGTTAAAAAGTTAAATTCACATTATTTAAGAATTTTAATGAATTATTAAAATATTGGTATCAATCGAATTGGGTTTGACAAGGCTTTATTTCTGAAATATATTCGGAGGGTTGCCACACATTTGGAAAATAAAAGTCAGCTTATTTCATCAGTTAGGTAAAATATGTGTTGAAACCTCTTTTGAAGGGGGTTGCCACCTGTTTAAAAAGTCGAATTTAATTAACTTACACGGAAACTATTTGAAATATGAAGAAAACGGGTGTCAAGCTAAAGAATGTTGAAAAAAATTTTGTTTGAATTTTAGGAACGTTTGAAGAAGGTTGCCACATTTTTAAAAAGTGGCCATAAAATGATTTATTAAGTTTGAGGAATTACTAAAATGTGGGCATCAATGGAAATGAGTTTGAAAATCCTTATTTGTCAAATTTAGTTAGGAGAGTTGCCACCTGTTTAAAAAAATCCAACTCAACTTAAATTAACGCAATTAGGCAATTGAAATATGTATCACACGTTGGGTATACATAGACGAAAGAGATTTAAGAATAGTTTAGTTTGAAAATACTTTTGAAAAGGATTTTGAATAGTCGTAGTATTTACTTAACTTATACGCAAGTTTCATGAAATATTAAAATATCGGTGTCAAGGTCATTAGAGTTGCACCGTTCTTTCGAATTTAAATATGAGAGGTCGAAGTAAAGGTCTTGGACTGTAGATGTGCGCTTTTCTAGGTTTTTGAATAAAAATTTTGGGCGTTTTAACGCCATGAGGGTTCACTAGTTTCTATAGTTTGCAAATTTTTGCAAATTTGGGCACAATTTTGGGAGCTATAACATGGAAATATTTATTTTCCGTTACCGTGGAAAAATTTTTGTTTATACAATTGAGTATGGAAACACCGAACTAGCACAAATTGGAGAAACACGAGGGCAATTCATCTAAACGCGTAACCATGTAAACCTCGTAGACTTACCAATATTTTGCATGGAAAATCGGCTTATTTACGCGATTTACGCGGTTATCAGACATTTATGCCTTTAGATGAACTGCTGCTGGACGTTGGGAGGGTACTGGGAGTAGGGATCTTGCTGGAGTTGTTTGACGGTAGGTTAATGCCGGTTGTACAGATCTTGCTGGCTGTGAGCGGTGGTGTTGCGCTGGTTGTCGGCGCTATAAGGCAACCGGGGTTGTCGACGGATCCTAAATAATTTTTGTTTGTTGGTTTATATTTCTATAATCGAAAAATATACTTCAAACTTACGGTAGACCTTGGGCCACTATGTCTTCCAATACCTTTCGATATTTTTTTTCATGGAGGAACCCCTCCTTTCTTGCCAAGTAGCATTTCAGCCATTCCTGGGCTTCAACTGCCGTCCACACCTTGCGTTTTCCGCAAAAGACTTTTATTATTTTGTAGTAATAAATACTTATGTATATCAAAATACGCAATTTGTTACTTACGATTTGTCCTTCGTTGAGTCATAGAGCATGATGCTCGAGATGATTTGTTGTTATTAAGTCTCTTCTTCGATATCGTATCTTTTCATGAAACACTTTTGGCATTCCCGACTTTTGCAAGCTGGTATTTCGCGCATATCACACACGGCATGAAGAAGGATTCCATCTGTGATTGGGCTCATGGCTATTTTACTATGCCTGGGTACTTGTTTTAAGGCCAATGATGGTTCCTTGAGAAATATTTTTCGTTTTCATTGCTCATTTCATCTGTAAATTCAATAACGAGCGGATCTTCAATAGCTATGTTCCTGTTTGCCTCCTCAAGATTATAATCCTCAAGTGGTTTTTCTTCATTATCCACTGGAACTATCGATCTAGTCTCTCGAGTCTATAATCTTAAAAGTCATTATCTTTCCTCTTCCGCCAATCAATTCTTGACGGTGATTAGCTTAATATAAAAAATTGGGATTCATTCTCACTCCAACTAAATTTGCACAAAATAAAACGCGATAAATCTGATAAGTCAAAGCCCCTCAACAACTGATAAATATCGCGATTATTTCTATTCTATTATGTAGATACATATGTACATGAATTCATGCACAAATCGAGAAACAACAAAAGATAAGATGCCAGAGCACATAATAAAATCCCCTTATGCATATAGATACAAATTATATATGTGATAGAGATAAATAAGATACAACAAAAATAATTAATGAAAACTAGTCCATCATACAAAATGTGTGACAGAATTACACATATCGTCCTGTTTATTATCATTTTAATCAGCTGTTCAACATGCACTAACAATTATCTACATAATTATCTTTTAGCTTTTCTCACACAATTAAAATTGTGCAATACTCTCTACTATTGCTCTTAGAAGTGATAAGACGATAGCTGATAACATGCAACTAACTACGGGTACTACATATGTACAAAGCTTATAGCTAGACATCAAACTGTAAATTATCAGTCTTCACGCGTCGACCAACAAAACAAGTTGTTTAGAATTGCAAAGTGCCAAAGTGAATGTGTTTGTAATTGTAGTTGGACGAGATATATTTGCATACATTTTTAAAGATAGCTTGCTTTTATTAATTGATTAACATTCTGACAATGAATGTATCTGAATATGTGATTGGTGGTTTGGCTAATGTGGGTGCAACGCTTTTTACAAATCCCATTGATGTGAGTGGAGGAGCAAAAAATTAATTAGAGTTCTAATGCAGCAACTTTTTTCTCACAAAGGTCATCAAGACGCGCATACAACTGCAAGGCGAACTGGCGGCGCGTGGCACATACGTAGAGCCATATAAAGGCATCTTCCATGGACTTGTAACAATAGCGCGTAACGATGGTTTATTGGGCTTGCAGAAAGGTCTGGTGCCGACTATGTACTTTCAGTTTGTCGTAAATGCCTTTAGGTAGGTTCAAGAAGTTAGGAAATAATTTATTTACTATTGTTTTGATTTGTTACATCTGTATTTCCTACCAACCCCAATATTTATTTTTTGCTCAGACTGGGCATTTATAGCACCGCGAACAATATGCAATGGACACGCGATAAAAATGGTGATGAATCTTTCGGTTTGGGTCTCTTTTGGGGTGCTGGTGGCGGCGCTGTGGGCGCATACTTTTCCAGTCCGTTTTTTATGGTAAGTGTTAATGTACATGCATATGTGTATTAAGGTGTAT